CAGATCAAAAATACTTAGACATGGCATATAGGGCATGCGCTAGGTGAGATCAACATTAGCAAGATCTGCATTATTTGAGGCTAGAGTCCATTCATCAGTCTGATAATGGCTGGAAAGAAGCTGTTCCTGTACCTGCTTGTGCATGTGTTCAGGTTTCTGACGGAAGAGGTTGTAGGAGGTCGTTATCAGTGCGCGGTGGATCTTTGATGATATTGGTAGTCTTTCTGTAGCAGCGAGCCATGTAAATGGAGTCTATAGATGGAAGGTTGGCTTTCGTGATGGTCTGGGCTGTGCACACCACCTTCTGTAGTCTTTTACGGTCCTGGGCAGAGCAGTTGCCATACCTGGCCGTTATGCTTCCGGACAGTATGCTTTCAATTGTGCATCTGCAGAAGTTGGTGAGGGACCTTATGGAAATGCCAAATTTCCTGAGCCGCCTGAGGAAGAAGAGGCATTGTTGTGCCTTCTTGACTGTCATGTCTATGGGGGAAGTCCAGGACAGATTGTCAGTTATTGTCACTCCAAGGAACTTGATGCGCTTCACCCTCTCAACCTCAGTTCAATTGATATGGATGGGGGTGTGTTCTCCTCCTTTCTTTCTGAAGTCAATGATCAGTTCTTTAGTTTTTCCAACGTTGAGAGATAGATTGTTTGCATTGCACCACATCACCAAGCCCTCTATCTCCCTTCTGTAGTTTGACTTGTCATTGTTAGATATTCGTCCCACTGTGGCGGTGTCGTCAGCAAACTTGTAGATGGGGCTCGTTTGGAATTTAGTAAATATTCAATGATGCCACAAAAACAACCCTTTTGAGCTGCAAATACTAATAATTTACAACTGTTTGTATGAATAAATTTCTCCTCATGAGCCCAAATTTATTCTGAAACTATGTCCCTTTGTTCTAGATTGCACAGCCATCAGAAACAATGCCTCAACACATTCCCTGTCAAGTCACTTTTTAATCTTGAACATTTCAATAAGATCACTTCTCAATCCTCTAACCCAGAGAATACAGCCTTAATTTCTTCAACCAGTCACTATTGGACAACTCTCAACCCAGGGACCAATCTAGTAAACTGTCCCTATAATGTCTCCAACACAAGTATATCCTCTCTTAAATAAAGAGACCAGACCGGACACAGTATTTCAAGTTGGTGTCACCAAAGCTCTGTACATTTACAACACAAACTTTTTATTCTTGTTTTCCAATCTCCAGACAGGAAAAGTCATTATGTAATTTGCTTTCCTCATTACTTATTTCATCAGCATGCCAACATTTTGTGTTCTTTGTGCAAGTATACTCAAGTCTTTTGGCACACCAATACTTGCAAGTTTCGTGCCTTTTATAAATCAGTTTTTCTATTTTTATCATCAAAATGAATAACATCGCATTTCCCCACACATTATACTCTATCTAGTACCTTATTTCCCATTCAGTTATATTTTCTGCCTTTCTGTGTCCTCCTCACAGCTTGAATTTTCACATAGTTTTGGATTGCAACAAACATTACTCTATCTCTTTGTCTACATCAGTTGTATAGATTACAAAAAGCAGAAACATGGCACTGATTGTTGTGGCACTATACTTGTCACAGTGTGCCAAGTTGAAAATGCTTTTCTTTCCTTACTCTTTCCTTCCTGTATGTTAACTAACTCACTTCCTCCATCAGTGACACACAGTAACTTTTAAAAATTCTTTTTAATTCTTTCTTGGGATTCGGGCATTCCTGGTTAGGCCAGTATTTACTGCCTATTTGAGTTACCCTCTAGAAGATTGTGGTGAGCTGCTTTCTCGAACTGTTGCAGTCTATTTGGTGTAGGTATAACCACAATGCCATTAGAGAACAAACTCCTGTAGTTGATCCAGTGGTAATAAAGGAACAGTGACATATTTTCAAGTCAGAATGGTGAGTGGCTTGGAAGAGAAATTGCAATGGTGGTGTTCCCATGTATTTGCTGCTCTTGGCTTTCTGAATGGCAATGATTCCAGGTTTGAAGAGCTCTGTGTAAGGAGCTATGGTGAATTTCTACAATGCATCTTGTTGATGGTACACACTACTGCAATTGACCATCGATGGTGGAGGGAATGAATTTTTTTTCTTTATTCATTCACGGGATAAGAGTGTCACTGGCTAGGCAGCATTTATTGCCCATCCCTAATTGCCCAGAAGGCAGTTAAGAGTCAACCACATTGCTGTTGGTTTGGAGTCACATGTAGGCCAGACCAGGTAAGGATGGCAGTTTCCTTCCCTAAAGGGCATTAGTGAACCAGATGAGTTTTTCCGACAATCAACAATGGATTCATTGTCATCATTAGATTCTTAATTCCAGATTTTTTTATTAATTGAATTCAAATTCCACCATCTACCGTGGCGGGATTCGAACCAAGGTCCCCAGAACATTATCTGGGTCTCTGGATTAACAGTCCAGCAATAATACCACTAGGCCATCACCTCCCCATATGTTTGTGGATGTATTGCAAATAAATAGAATTTCTTTGTTCTGGATGATGTCAAGCTTTTTCAGTGTTTTTGGAACAGCACTGACCCAGGTAAATGGGGAATATTCCATCATTGTCTTAAGTTGTGAGTTTAAGATGGTGGCCTGGCTTTGGGGAGTTATGAGGTGAGTTACCCACTGCGGGATTTCTAACCTGCTCTTGTAGCCACTGTATTTATGTGGCTAGCCCAGTTCAGTTTCTGATCAGGAGTTATCTTCAGGATGTTGCTAGTGTGGCATTTAATAATGGTAATGCTATTGGATATCAAGAAGTAATGACTAGATTCTCTTTAGTTAGTAATGATCATTGCTTGGCCCAACAACATTGAGGTACAACTGTTACTTGCCACTCGTTAGCCCAAACTTGGATATTGTCCACATCTTGTTACATTTGACATGGACTACTTCAGTATCTGAGGAGCTGTAAATAGTTCTGAACATTGTGCAACCATCAGTGGACATCCCCACTTCTGACCTTATGAAGGAGGGAAAGTCATTGATGAAGGAGCTGAAGATGGTTAGGCCTTGGACACTAGCCTGAGAAACTTCCGCAGAAATATCCTGGAGCTGAGATGAATAACCTTCAGCAACCAGAACCATCTTTCTTTGTGCCAAGTATGATTGCAACTAGTGGCAAATTTGCCCCGATTCCCGCTTACTCCAGTTCTGCTAGGGCTCTTCAATGCCACACTCAGTCAAATGCTGCCTTGATGTCAAGGATTGTCACTCTGCTCTCACCTCTGGAATTCAGCTATTTCTTCCGTGTTTGAACTAAGACTATACTAAGGTCAGAAGCCAAGTGACACTGGAGGAACCCAAGGGAACACCAATGAGCAGGTTACTGCTTGATAGCACTGTTAACTACATTTTCTGTCACTTTATTGATGATCAACAGTCATACAATCATAGAATCATAGAATCCCTACAGTCCGGAAACAGGCCCTTTGGCCCAACAAGTCCACACTGACCCTAGGAGCATCCCATCCAGACCCATACCCCTATAACCCACCTAATCTACACATCCAGAACACTACGGGCAATTTAGCATGGTCAATCCTGACTGATGAGGTGGCATTAGCTGGCTTGGATTTACTCTGCTTTTTCTGTATGGGATGGACCTGACCCATTTTTCACATTATCAGGTAGATATCAGTGTTGTAGCTGTCCTGGAACAGATCAGCTAGAGTTGTGACAAGTTCTGGAGCATATATCTTTAGTATTACTACTGGAATGTTGTCAGGGCCCATAGCCTTTGCTGCACCAAGTGATTCAAGCTGTTTCTTGATATCGCGTGGAAGGAAGTGAATTGGCTGAAACCTGGAATCTGTGATGCTGGGTATCTCTGGAGGGGGCCATCTACAAAATGCACTGCAGCAATTTACCAAGGTTCTTTGACAATGTCTTTCAAACCTGTGGCCTCTGGCAGCAGATGCGTGGGAACTTCAAAACCAACTCCCCATCTTGGGACTATGCTGCAATTCCTTCATTGTTACTGGGTTAAAATCAGCAACTCCCTTCCCTTGGAGGTGACAAAACAACAGGGAGGCATTCAAGATAACACAGTGTGGAGATGAAGGTACACAGCAGGCCAGGCAGCATCAGAGGAGCAAGAAAGTTGATGTTTCGGGTCGGGACATTTCTTCCAAAGAAGAAGGGTCCCATCCCAAAATATCAACTTTCCTGCTCTTCTAATGCTGCCTGGCCTGCTGTGTGCCTCCAGCTCCACACTGTGTTATCTCTGACTCCAGCACCTGCAGTTCTTACTATCTCTGAGGGACGTATTCAATCAGCTGCATTCTAACTTTCACATGCCCATGCCTACAAAATCATCACCACTGGCTTGGAAAATTCTGAGCATTATTAAGTCAACAATTTAAATCATCCAGAAATGTTGTCAATAATCTCATTAATGACAAATTCCTCCACTGGAAATAAACAAAATGTGTTATCCATTTAAGAAAGAAAATATAGATGCTTTGTCATCACAATTTCACTAGATTTACTGGTACTTTTGCACTCACTCATTGATCTTGTCTGTAATGTGTACTTTGAGCATATTACTCCAAAACCTAACAATCTGAAACTCTTTCTATTATACAACAGGATATGTTAAGTTATACTACAGCTGCTGTCCAAGTCCTCACTTTTCATACAAAGGTGCAATCTCTCCTATGCTACAAAGTGCAGTCCAACAACACAATGACTAATTCCACAGCAAATTAAATTTGCAAATTTTCAAATGGAAACTAGCCCACTCACCATGCATTATATAAAGTAACAGTTATACCAAAGGATAGCCAGGGATGTGAGTACAGCAGTTAGATGTCAAAAACTGCAGCGATGTGCTACATTAACCCGGTTGATGATGTTATGGTCTTAAACTTCACAATCCAGATCAATGACTATACTTTGTGTAACTCACACCAATCAAATTCATTGTGTATTAATGTGAACAAAATTATAGAAGGTGACAAAATAAGAGCAGAATTAAAAATCATACCGACAGCTTCTGAGAGACCGTAGACCTTTTGACTGTAGGCGTCAGTTTTGTCCCATATGTATGTGTAGGCTAGGTTAGGAGATGCATGGAACCATTTCTGAAAGAGATGTCCTTCCACAGCCACCATCAGATGGACCTTAATTAAATTGATTGGCACAATGGATTGAGTCATTGTGACTTTCAAAAGGGACTTGTAGCCAGCAGTACGAGAGCTCAAGTAGCACAACTTCAAGCTGGAGCCTGGGATTTCAACTGCTTCATGTAGAACCTGAATACAAGATAGACATATGATGTAATAACTACACGGTAAAGCAGATACTAAGGACCTAATTTGAAAATTTATGAAATGCAATTTTATTAATGACTCATTATTATCCATTGTTTAATCCAGTACAATTGCCTGTCTACTAACAGCAATTACACTGGATTAGCACAGCCCATTACAAAGCAATATCAAAGAAATCCTTTATGTGCTCTCTCTGCTTAGGTTTAGATCCCTACTGTAATCTATTTAAAGACAGAAGATTTCTTTGCTCTTATTTTATGGCACTGGGGCAATTTTTTTTTCATATTCTCAAATGCTGAACTAGGGATAAGTAAGTTTTTGCAATATTTTCTTTACAAAAATGAATGTTAGCATTAAGTATAAGGAACTGTTGGCTACTTAGTGTAATAAATGTGATTAGGGAAATGAACAATGATCACTGGTGGGTATACACAACTAATTAAGATGCAGGAACATGAGTCTGGTAACCAGAACATGAATTATGTTCCACCATTTAACTCAATCATGAATGATCTGTACAACTGCTCCACTTGCTCCATTTACTTTGAATAGCAAATTCTTTCAAAATTTCTCATGTGGAACTTTGTCTATATGGACAACACCATTTCATGGATGTCAGGAGAGGCCTGCACACTTTACCCTGCAGGCTTCTTCTCTGGGTCTCCAATGAAAATGTATCCCCAACAATTTTCCTCCTTGTGGCCAGCATACCACTCCCTGTCCTGTCCAAAATGCCAGCCACATTCTTTCTAGAAATCCTTGGAAGTCTGTACAACAGTACAAGCTGACAAATTGGTCAAAAGAATAGCAGCAGATCTGAGGGCTGGGAGCAGTTTAGATTTAAATACAGGATGATAAAGGGATTGATTAAGAGGGGTAAAATTGAGTCCAAGAGTAAGATTGCAGGAACATAGAATCTGATTGTAAAAGCTGCTATAGGAATGTGAAGAGAAAAAGATAAATGGAGGTCCCTTGCAGTGAGAAATAGGGAAACTTTTCATGGGGAGCAAAGGGATTGGCAGACTAATTAGATGAGTATCTGTTGTTACAGAGGAAAATGCAATAATGTCCCAAAAATGTCAGTGAACGGATGATCTAGTGAGAGGGAGGAACTTAAGGGAATCACTTTTATTAGGGAAATAGTGTCAGGGAAATTGATGTGATTAGAGAAAGATAAATCCCCAGGGCCTAGTAATCTATATACCAAATTACTTATGGAAATGGCCTGAGAAATAATGGATCCATTAGTGGTCATCTTTCAAGATTCTACAGATTCTGGAAGAGTTTCTATTTAAAAAAAAATGGTCTGACAATGGGGATAATGCTCGAGTCCATTGTAAAAGACTTAATGGCAGAGCACTTGGAAAACAGTGTCAGGATCAGACAGAGTCAACATGGATTTCCAAAAGAGAGATCATGCTTGACAAATCTACTGGAATTTTTTCAGGAAGCAACTAGTAGAGTTGATAAGGGGGAGCCTATGAGTGTGGTTTATTTGGGCCTTCAGAAACCTTTCAATAAGGTCCCACAAAAGACATCAGCATGTAAACTAAAGCACAGGAGATTACGGGAAGTATACTGACATGGAGTGAGAACAAGGTGTAGAGCTGGATGAACACAGCAGGCCAAGCAGCATCATAGGAGCAGGAAGGCTGACGTTTCGGGCCTAGACCTTTCTGATGAAGGGTCTAGGCC